GTGTCCAGAGTGAGGCTACTGTCCATTAGAAGGTTCAGACTGGTCGGTCATCTGCATTATTTTACTCCTCGTTAAGAATTAAATTCTTTCTCTATCTTCACTTGTCATCTCATTAAAATGTGAACACAACTAAGAGTTTCTAGCCTGTAGTTGTTGGCAAAAGTGTGTTCCAGGAGAATGATTACTCCAGAACTCAGAATAAAGTTCCCCTTGGACTCTGCCGCCTGTTGAGCCGTTAGCTGTGCAGCGAGGCTTGGCAGCAGCAAAGTTGAAATGTTCCCAAGACCCATGTGGCTAATTACACGTTGCTTTATTCTGTTCAGCTGATGGCTCCATACGCATCCCACAAATAGAGGATAATGAAATAAAACCAGTTTTACCCATGCTTTGCCAAAGGCTAACATTAAAACAAGTATTTTCAACATTGAATAAATTGTATGACTGTATCATCATGGGCCATCTTTTATTAATTTTCCTTAAAATGGAAAATTTTATGGCTCTCAAATCGAAAAGAAAAGACAAGTGATTTTCCTACCTGTTGCTCAGCAGGGAACTCAGCAGCATCAAGCTGTCTTCCATGCTGGCGATGATTTCTGAAGTGCTGTCCCCCCGCAGGAGGAGCTCTCCACGAGTCTTAAAGCTGCCAAACGTGAATGTTTTGTTGTTCCACTCACTGATCACTTGCTTCAACTTGTGTTCAATGTCTCGCTCCTTCACTGCACTGATACAGATGTCCTATCAAAATAGCAAACTCTCATTTTATTACATGAAAGTCACCCATCCTTCCTTCACTGTCTACGTTCAGCAGAGATCCTACCTTTACTATTTGCTTCAGAGGCATCTATAAACACTTACATTTTCATATCTAAAATATAACATGTGTGTACATGTAGGTATCAGTGTAGGGAGAGAGACAGAATTAAAGATATGACTAAATCACAGAACCTGAATGTATAAAAGTTCCCACCAATCTATGCCAAAAACAATGATGCCAGAAGAGATATGCAAGAACCTTTTAATCACAGACTCAACATGCAATGTGTTTCTGATTCCCCTCTAAGGTCCAATAAAGGCGCACGAGAGGAAGAAGTTAGCAGACACCCATTTCTCCCTGATCTCTGGTCACCTTCCCTTCCCCCAGACCTTTGGTCAAGGCCTGCCTTTACCCTTGTTTCTTCCCACACAGCCACACTGCATCCGCTGTCTGGGCAAGCTCATCTATGCCTGTGCATTCAGTGAATTTTGATATCTCCAGCAAAGACCCATGTCCATTTGCCAACTGGATTTCTCTGCTTAGATGTTTCAAGGGAACCCCAAACTCAATCAGTGGATTATCAAACTCATGCCCCAAATCAAGTTCATGATCTTTGCCCCTTGTCATGCAGTCTGCGTCCCTTCTCACATTACTCTTGCCAGTCAGCATCACCATCATCTGTGTATATTTCTCAGCAAGAAATTCAGGGTTCATCCTCTGTCTCCTACCATGTTCCCTCCATTGCCGAATTCTGCCCAGTTTTACTCCCTAAAGATCCCTTGCCTCTTTTCTCCCCTTTCCAGCTCTACTTCCTCCCCTCTCATCCAGCAAACCATCACCTCTTGCCAGAGCTACTCTTAGAAACTCACAGTTGGTTTTCCCATCATCTCCCCAATCTGCCTCAAATTCTTTCTCCACTTGGTTACCAGAGTGATATTTACAAAATGCCAAACTAGCCATGCCATCCCCTACTGCAAACACATCTCCCAGAGAGCCACCACTTCTCTAAAGACCCAAATTGATAATTCTGTCTGGGCTACTCCCCCACCCTGGCCTATGCTGTCTCTTCTCTCCCCTAACTCCATACCCCAGCCACATGGGGCTTCCTCTGGCTCCACAAACGTCCCTCAGATCCCCCATACACAATGCTTCATCTGCCTGGAAAGGTCTTCTTTGCACTTTCTGAGCCCCTCACCCAACCACATGACCACACTCCCTTCACCCAGCCTGTCCTGAGCACACACCCAGGCTTCCTGACATTGATCACCCCAGACAAACCAAACCCCTTCATCACAGGCTCTCATGGAGCAACATGCTTTCCCTTCAGTGGCACGTACCACGACTTGTAACTAATGTGCCTTTATTTGTATAATTCTTTGATTACACTAATCATTTAATGATCTAAAAATGCAGAACTTCATCATTATGTCCCCAGCACAGAACCCATCCTCCAGTAGGCACTCACTAAACATTTGTTGGAGGAATTGATGGCTGAATGCCAGGAACAGAGTTTCAATTGTCTGAGCAAACATTACAGATCCAACATTCCAAAATACAGTAATGTTATCAAATAAATTCCACGAGACCTTAAAATCTTCCACCACATCATGCTCTGTATCAACCGTACCTCTATTTCCTCTTTGTATTTCAAAAGAGGTGCTTCCATGATATTTCTCAGCTTAAAGGTTTCATTCCTCACATCCAAACAGTGCCCAGTGACAGCAGTTATCCTCTCCCAGTGCCTCGCCATCATGGCTTTGCTGGCCATGTATTCCAGCAGGGGGCAGCACTCGCTGAAATCATCAATGGTCTTTTTCAGGTCCAAATAAGCCTGCCAGTCCTTCAAGGCCCGGGGCAGCTTCCGACACCTGGCAGGGACACCAACAAGAAATATAAGTTCAGATGATTCCACTCCAAGGTTGTCTGCCACCATTTCTACCTAGAACAGTTTCTTTGAATACATATCCCATGACTCATACTCTACCTGCTAATATACCGACGTTTATTCCATAAAATTACTTCTGCCCATCAGAAAATATTTTTCCCATCCCTCAACACAGCCACCTAGTTAGAGGAATTATTTTAGATGTGTTTTTCAGTTCAATTCAATTCTGTAAACACACACTGAGAACTTACTAAGTACAAAGCATGATGTAGTATATCAGGCTGTCAAGAAAATATACAGTAAGTCCATTTTCTATGGATTCAACACTTAAGATGATGTAGAAAAATCATGGGGCTCTTGCTTTTACTCCAGAAAATCATCTAACGTAAACTTCAAATGTTTGACAACTGTACAGTAAATAAAGATGAGTTCCCTTCAAGCTACAGAGAAGCCCCTAAAAAGATGTATCCAGATGTAAAGGATGTGCTTGTCTCACGGTGTACACATGGGGGTAATTAATAAACAGCATGTGACAAGGGTGAGGCTGACGGACAACGGTGTAGCAAGATGTGGATTCAACCACCTGGGATGTAAAGAGAACTTGGCAGCAGCCAAGCAAAAAAGCATTTGAAGTTCAACAGCTCTAGGCACGCTAAGCACTTAATTTCTCACCTGTTTTGGAATTCTAAGAGTTCACTGTTTATTTTTTCAATGTTCACGTCTGACCAAAGGATATCATAATAACTATTTACAGTTTCTATGACACTGTTGTACAGAGTGTATATTTTCTGTAGAAGACTTAGTTGTTTCTTTATTTCAAGAAGCTGAGGATACTGCGTCACTGGCAGTCCAAAAAGCTCCTCTCCTCCAGTATAGGTGATGTACTTTCGGTAGATGTTATCAAATTGATTCTGATAAAAACACAAGTGAAAACTCATCAAAATGATTTGCACTTGAACAAATACACTAGTGAAAAGGAAACAGAGCAAACGAGTAAGCCAGAGATGTATGATCTCTGGGCGCACAAAAATAGGAGTGCTCAGTGGCTATGATTAATTCATAGAAGCCGTCTCTAATTGTGAACACGCCACATCATATTTTTTAATATATATAAAATTTTAAGATATTTATAATATTGGAAGTACATACTATATTCCACAACAGGCTTCTCTGTCTTACAAAAAAAAAAAAAATACACGTGTATTGTTGTATTTTGTATTATTGTATAAGTTTTGTTGTTTAGAAATGAAAAAGACGATTACCTGAAACATGATAAGCCTGTCACTGGCTTCCTGGGGTTTCAAGCCGCTCGCCATTGGACCATTCTGAACAAAAAGTTAAACACGGAATAAAATGTTTGCATACAAATTTTATGAATTCAAAACATTGTAATATTAAAGTTAATTTTTATCTATGTCACATGCATGATGGGAAACGTCGTTTTTTATTTATTAAATAAGGTCTCAGAATGTGACTCATTTGGAAATATTTTTCATGCCTACAAAGCCACCTTAATTCCACATCTTCCCTCAGCCAAAACTCTTTTCAAATTAAAAATATTTAATGGACTACATATTTAATCTGTATTCATTTCTTAGGTGACACAGGCAAAGAGAGGTTGAGGGCACAGAGAATATCTGGTTGAGCTAAATACTTACGCCATGTAACCCAGGATTTTACCATTCTGATACCTGTTTGTAAAGTGGCCCACAATCTTAACACTCTAGTCGGGTTTGCCCACATTAGAACAACTTAAATATGTGGATTTCTGTGCTTCTTCACCCACTAAGTTAGGACATGAATCCAATCTCTTAACTTTATTAGCTTTGTGTTTTATTGTACTGATATTCACAGCAGTACATTAGAATTGGCTGAAAACAAGTCTCACTATACAAAGTGTACATTAGAAGACGCTGCACTAAACTTTATAGGAAATTTAAAACATGGACTCCCAGAGGCAGAGCGCCACCTACCTGTCTTGCCCACCACTAACTTGTCAGCACCAAGGACAGGGCCCACCCTGTGCCTGGCACTCTACATTCTTTGTGGAACTAAGAGACGTGAAAAGAAGGATTCTTATAACTACTTGTGAACAGTATTTTTATACACAAATTTAGAATGCTATCAAACGACTCCAGTAATGATACAATATGAACCGCACTTTTAAATTCATGATTTTCTATTAAAATTATTTTGGATTGTCTTGGCGCCTGTAGCTGAAGTAGCTAAGGCGCCAGCCATATACACCTAAGGTGGCGGGTTCGAATCCAGCCCAGGCCCACCAAACAACAATGACGGCTGCAACCAAATAATAGCCAGGCGTTGTGGCGGGCACCTGTGGTCCCAGCTACTTGGGAGGCTGAGGTAGGAGACTCACTTGAGCCCAGGAGTTGGAAGTTGCTGTGAGCTGTGATGCCACAGTACTCTATCCAGGGGGACAGTTTGAGGCTCTGTCTCAAAAATAAATAAATAAATAAATAAATAAATAAATAAATAAAATTATTTTGGATGAATCTAAGGGGAACGGATTACAGTGGGAAAATCTTTTTTGCTCTCATGAAAATGAAATTTCTACTCCTTGGGAATGCCTAAGAAATTTCATGGAATTTGACATGCAATTTTTAAACTACATTTGCATTCTCTATTTATTCCTCCCCAAAAATGCACATGGAGAAAGCCAGAGACATACCAAATCATAGTCCAAATAAAACTGGTGACAGTCTTGGAGGAAGACCTCCACGGCGCTAATAAGCTCTTTCCTGAAAGTGGGCTGCAGCAGGACTAATTCATTCTGAACTTCTCTGGCCCGGGCCAGCAGCTTCTCCCACGCATAGTGCAGTGTGTCAACTTTGTCCATCTCCTCCTTTGCTATCAGAAGTCCGTATTTGTTAAGTAGGGCATAAGATTCCTACACAAAGGGATAAGAATCAAATTGATGCTGGTCAGACGCATGAGTCTACACACAGTCATTTTTCAAGCATGCGAATGGAAAAAGTGGCATGATACCAAAACCACCCTGACAACTTGCCACTTCAACATTCAACTTCAGTCTCCTCATCTGTCAAATGCCAAAATTGTCTAGCTTCTTCAAAGGACCTTTGTGAATATCAAAAACAGCATTTTAAATACATTTTGAAAGCCATAAAATATTATATGAAGTCTGACAATTAAGTTCACAAACTCATCCTAGAAAAAGTGCTGCATCCCTCATTCCTGAATATCACCATGGTCATCACATGGTCAAGGGAAGTCCTTTGAAGGTGACTGCAGTGATAGTCAACAATGAGGCAATGTGGCACGATTTTCCTGGGATGAGTATGTCTGACTGGGTACAAACAAAAGATATATTTACTTAGGCCACCAGATTGTATTTGAAGACTACAAAATCACATGAAGTAAATGAAAAACATGAAACAGTTGAGCTTCTAATATTAGAATTAAACAGTCAGGATTTTTAACTCTGTCCATTTCATTTTGTTGATAAGAGGTCCCAATATTAAGACACAAGGGCATGTTCTTGAATTACAGCCTGAGCCCAGTCATTCCCCTCACTGTGCAAACTCCAGGAATACTCTCCAGGCTAAAAGATTAAAATGAGGGAAAGAAAGGCTTTCCCCTAAATATCTGCACCCTATTCTCCCACCATTACTTTTCTCTGTGGAGATAAAATGAGGACCTGATTGTTGATTTGGGGGGAAAATTCCTAACTTAAGCAAGCACAGCCCAGTGCCTTTCTCCCTCTGCCCTCTGCTCCTTGCAGGGATGTCTGTGGTCCACACCTCAGTGCCACAAACTGGGTCAGGGTGAAAGAGAAACCTGCAGCTTTCCAATGCCACCTCTGAGGGGTGAGGAAGTATAATTAATTCTGGGATTTAGTACTCACAAGCCCAAGGTGTGTACACGGAGGTGCACAACCACAGTAATAAATGCTAACTGATGTCTCCCAAACAAATCCCGTCAGTAATAAAGGTTATATTTTGACCTGGACTACCTAACTCTACTTTTGTGCTGCCTCTCAGACAGGAGAAAACGGGATTGTCAGTTACGGTACCTCCTCTTCAGACATCAAGATCTCCCAGTATTACACCAAGAAGGGGCTCTTTGCCTTGAGGTTTTAACCCAAAAAGAGCATGATGGGCCATGGGGCTCCCCTGGCCCAACATGGCAGAAGTGGAAATGTCTGTAGCATTTTTGTGCTACTGTGAAATATTTCAAAATTCAAAGAGGGACATAGAAAAGGTGAGATTAGAGTCTGATCCTGACATCAGAATAAGCTTCTCTCCCCACCCCTCCTGTTTCCCTCACTCCCCTTCTCTGGTGAACACTTATTGATAAATCCTTGGCACAGAATCTTCCTCTCAGGCTCTGCTCTTTTGGATCCTAGCTGACATGTGAAGGTGGGAAGAGGCCTGTGGAAGGCATCCTAGAAGGGTCCAGCACCATCATTACTGAAATCACACATTTGGTGGTACTAACCTCCAATGTGGACCAGATTAATATTTCAGCTGATAGAACCCAACATGTGGAAATATTTCTATAATGAACAAGTGAGAATCAGATACCTCAATAGGTCCCACTTGGAAATCAACAGAGATCTGCTGCTCTCTGATGTCATTCAGTGCTGCCATCGCTATCCGAATATCATCCAGGTCTTTAATTTGGCGATTCAGTTTTTTATTGAATTCTTCAATAAGTGTAAAAATGTTTTCCATCTCACTCCTGTATTTTTTGTTACAGTGGCGGCCGATCACAACCATCCAGGCCCTTGTCTCCGTGGTCAGGGCAAATTTCAAGTCAGCTATAAAACCCAAATGTCCACAGCTAAGTTTAAAAAACTTGAGCCAGCATGTAAATGCATAGGACCACGGTTCGCTGAGAGTTCGTACTTTGCAGCTTAAAAAGTCCTCTGATCCATAAAAAAAATCAAAGTGGAATACTACACACTTCCTAATAATTCCATATACATTCATTTTATAATGTTTGTTTTTATAATAATTCAAAACACATTTCAAAATGCTTTTAAAAAACACATAGGAAAGCCTTCTGAAGCCTCAAATGTTTACTATTATTCTTTATTAAAGAAAGAATAAATATCAATTCCAAATACAACACATTCATCCCTTTCATTAATTTGCCTTTATTTTCAAGGTTTAGCAACAAAGTGTTCAAAATAGTCTAGAATAAATAATTATATAGAAGGGAATTAAAAACAAACCTACAAATTGGTCTTAAAGCTTGAGGCCCATGAAAGGAACGTCAATCTTTAAGATAGGTAGACATCTCCGGAATACTAATCTAGGAAGAGAGAACAATACCATTGAATTTATTTGACTAGAAGAAAATGAACCAACCTGTGTACAGAGCGATGGAACCCACACAGATGTATTCAGGCTCAGCATTAATTTCCTGCTCTATGTTTTGGAAATACAGAATCTGGGATTCAAATTCAGACAGCAAGGGCTTTTGCATAATAAACGTCAAGATGGTTTCTTCTTTCTCCTTTTGCCAAACATGATTGTAGCATTTGAAGTGATCCATGGATGTAATAACTTCCTAGAATACAAATAATAACAGAACATATGACATAAGTAAATACACGCCAATTGCTGGCAGTTCCCAAGGGTTTATGAAAACGTTTAATTAGTGAACTGTGTGATTAGTTGGAAATGCCACAGAACTGGGACTATATACCAGGGCGTGAACACTAACCCAGAGCTAGCAACACTGCACTGTGACCCATCTCTAGCCAGAAGGGAGAGGAGTAGTTTCCAGAAACCAGAGAAACAGAGTCCTCAAAGACGTTTGGTGACTGGGCGCTCTTGATTGGAGCTGAACCTAAGGTCAAAAACTGTAACTCAAGGTCATGCCACAGAGAGGGCACTATAGGGGAAAAAATACTCTGAGGTCATTCTCTCCATCCTCCTCCCCCTTCCTCATTTATGAAACCACTGGAAGCCTCAGCAGGAACCTACAGATGTGTTCAAGGTCAGATAGTCCAGTGGAGAAGAGTGGAGATTAGATTCTGGGGGGACAGGAGTGGGAGCCAAACAGAGCATAGCCACCATCAGACCATCAGACCTTAATGGAAAGACCTTAATGGGAGATTGCCTGGAGTTGCCTAAATGTATAAATTCATGTAATGAGAACTGACATCTACACAGTGTTGTATCTAACGATTCATGAACATAGTACATGTTGCTGCATCTTCCAATCTTTTTCAAAAATTACTCACTAAGTTCACTCTATGAAGAATAATCTTCATAAAGACCCCACACACTTCCTATTATGAATGTCCCTAGGTATTTTTAAATGTCATCCTGTAAACAAGCTCTTTTCTCCTATTTTTATACCTGGCTATGAATGGTATATAAGTTTAAAAAATTTTTAATGAACAGTCCAACTTCATGCTTCTGTGAGACGAAATGGCTCCTTGGCAATTAGTAAATAGGGCGTCATTATAAAGGGAACATCATGTTATAAGATGCTATTTCTTTCCAGCAAAACAAATGGTACTGTTTGGTACCAGCTAACGCAGCCATCCACAGAAGAGCACGCTCCTGAGGGCCACCTCCCCTCCTCCAGGGCTTCTTTTTGGACCAATTTTGTCATCTATCTTAACCATGTCCTTCACACATTATTCTCACTCGTAAGCAGCTGCAAAAAGATGTGCTCAGATGAACATGGAGAGTGTCATGCTAGATAATGGAGACTCAGAAGGGCGGTGGGATGGGGAGCGGGGAGATGATGAGAAATAGGCCAGTGGGTGCGATGTGTGTTATTCCCGACTTGCCTACCACACAATCTTCACATGTGATAAAATTGCACACGCACCCTATAAATTCATACAAATAAAACAATTACAAAAACAAAAGCAGAAAGAATAAAACAAAAAAGAACTCTCCTTGCACAGTTTAGCCTAATGTTTGTATATTTTAACCTCGTTCCCATACCTCAGTAGCCTCAGCTATTCCTTATACCACCTTTCACCAAACTTTCTTCACCTTTTAATAGCAAAGTTCTATAATTATTATTAATGACTATTTTATAATATAGTACTATGTTACTATAATTACCATGCATTACTAAATGTGTGAATATTTTAGTATGATTGCTACTTTACTATGATTGTTATTGTTTTATTACCGTTCTGATTACAAAACTTCCTAGTTTTAGTTTTATTATGTATCTGCCTCAGTCCTGTTTTTCTCATAACCCATAATATCTAGTATTAAATATACAACTTCACAAAACAGGAGGATCTTCAGAAACATGCATGTTGCATTCTATCAGAAATGTGCAATAATTATCTTGCAACTGACTCCTAAGTTAACTGTTTGGGGCCATAATTTTTTTTTTTCGAATTAGCCTTTTGGATTTAGTGGGTAGAAATCATATCTTCTACAAACAATTACAAATTTCTCTTCATTTCTAATTCCCTTGGGAATCAAATGTTTCCACTTACTTCCATTATATTTCAGAGTTACATCTGCATGAAAAAAAAAATAACCGATGCAGAATAGCAAATGCAATTATCTGAAATAATTGAGCATTACCAACAGCATTCTAAATGGTCTGATTATTTAAGCAAATTGCACCAACCTGCACCGAATTTACAAGGAGTTCCACTCCAATTCCCACATACAGCTCATCCATCCCTCAGCTCAGAGCGTTGGGTTTAATGGGTGTTGAGACTTCCCATCTATTAAAATGCAGAAAGCTAAGCCCGCCACTGCCCATCCCAACCACTACCGCTCCCCTCACCTGGGCCGAGCTGTCGACGTGCATACCGAGAATGCATTACGAAGAAATGTGCACATTTTCACAACTGTATGATGGTCTGGAGCAGTGATTTTCAACCAGCGTGCCATGACATTTTTTAAAGATCACTAATTAAATTATTTCCAAATGAAGTTCAAAGCACAGTAAGTATAGTCTTATACTCTTTTTTTACCCTTTTGTTTTTGTGATCAACATAAGTGTGCCACATTAGTTTATCAATAGCTTCAAGTGTGCGGTGAGATTTAAAAAAAAAAGGTTGAGAAACACTGGTCTAGAGAAAGAATTACGAATTATTAAAGACTCCTGGGTATGGGCAGAAATCCCAGAATCCTGAATGCTTCCAAAATCTAAGAGCTTACAATATTAATAGACCCTAACTAAGTTTTAGATTCCTAATTTATCTGAAAGCTCATTCGTTATTAAATTGGAACATTTTAGAGTGGAGATAACGAAGACCTTAATGGAAAAATTAGATAAACGACATATGTAGAGCTATTCTGCTTAATTTGCCAAGGTTATTTCAACGATTTAGGTTATTATCAAGGTTATTTTGATTGTTCGGTCTGGTTCATCTTTCCAAGACAGGCAGTATTATAAGTTCATGGCCAACCTATGATGAGCTGAATGTAGGTTGGATTTATATTCTGATTGATTCACCTACGGCAACAATAAAGGGGCTGGGATCATAGAATTTTCTGTGGTTGGGGCAGGACCATGCAGAAGGGTCTATGGCTGTGTGGGGGTGGCTATGTCTAGTACTAAAATTAAGCACACATATAGACAGTCTCCCAGAAGCAATTTAGCCATGCTACAAATCTGAAATAAAGCTTCTCAAGTCATTCTAAATGCCAAATCTTGCTCTATTTCTTAAGTAGGGTTAGCTAATGTTCATTTCCTTATTTTATTTTCATTTGTATATACTCATGGCAGACAAGTGCAATTTTGTTATATTGACATAGTCAATATAACAATGTAATCAAAACCTTCGGTACATCCACTAGAACAACACAAATTGTATACACCAATCTTTCTACTATTAAAAAAATAATACTAAGAGCTCTGCATTTCCTTCATATAACAGAAAAGCAAATGCAACTAAAATGACACAGAGGTAAGTTTTTGTTGCCGGCACTGTGATGTTAACTTCAAAATGTTGCCCTTAGATTTTCATTATAGTGGCTGATTATATTCAGAGAAAGTAAAGGATTCTATTGCTGACTTATTTTATTGTATTTTCTGTGATTACTGAGACATTTGGAAATAGTTCTGAATGTTTATCGGCGTCATAGAATACTCAACTTCCTGTGTCATTTAATATAGGGCCCAATAAACTACATTGTTACAGCAAGCACAGCTTTCCAGGGTGCTTTCAAACAAATGCAACTCATTCTGTCAACGCTAAATAATAGAAAAGATGTATTTACTAAGCAACAACTATTCCCTCAACACTGAGAAACATTCCCCAAAACTCAACAGGTCTTAGCAGTGATATGATTTAGAAGATTTTTTTCAATAAAAGATGATTTCAGGGTTTCGAGTCTTTTTGATTTCAGGAACGGATTTGCCTACACAAAAAGGGGGGAGCTGAGAGAAGATCGAGTTAGAAGAAACCCTTCAGTTTACATCTGTGTCAAGTACAAGTTTGTATTAACAGCATTAATATCTTTACTATTCTCAATTTTTTTTCATTTCCATGTAACAACATATATAAATTTTCATTTAATGATTTAAAAGAGTTGCCTAAATACATGAATAGGAAAGATATTTCATATCAATGGCAAATCTTTTTTTTTTTAATGGCAAATCTTTTTCTCTTTCAAAATATAGAGTATCACTGACTCTTCAAAAGTGAACTGTGGTTTGAAATTAGATTTTTTTTTGAACTGAGATTCATTTGTATTGAAAGGAGAGGTTAAAGGCATTAAACAGAACTCAATATGAGAATAAAAATAGTTTTTTCTCACCTTGCAAGCTAAAAGAAAAATCTTCAGTTAAATAAACATTTGCTGAGTCCACACAAGATGCCATTAGCCCCTCACTAAAGACACAGTGGGCTGGACCCAGGATATGTGTGAGACAAGCTTGGGTTGCTCACCTTCACACGGGCGCTTGTGGCAAAGCACAGCACCCTGGCTCCAGCATCTTTTGACCTACCTGTTTGGTGGAGTTGATAATTGTGCTAAGCACAGAGACTAATTTTACAATCTCCTTGTTTTCAGAAACATTCTTATAATAATTCTTGGTTTGCACAGGAATTGGTAAGTTTACTGATGCTATCTCAAAGGTGTCTAAAAGAAAAAAAAAAGAGAGAAAAGTTTATACTAACCACACAGGGAATGTACTTTAAAAAAATGAGATTTCTGTAGCAATAAAGTGAGAAACCCTGAAAATCTCCTTTAGAAAAGCAATAGAAATAAAGGAAGGGATTGTCAGTATTGATTTTTCAGGACTCTGGAAATCACAGCTTGCAATAATCCAAAAAGTGATTATGCAAGAACAAATGCTGAATATCAGCACGTTCTGGAATGCATTCCCCTGCTTGATTCCCGTTGCTCCTCTCTGGCTACGGGGTAGCCTTGAACGCAGCAGCCTTGCAACAATGTCACTGTGAGAACAAGTAGCCTAGTGGCCGCTGCAAGGGCCCACTCAGTCTGGAGCGCCTCAGAAAGCCCTATGGAATTATCACTATTGGACCTGTCCAGAAGTTCTCTGAAAAAGCCCCGTTCAGAATTTATCTTTATTTGATTTGACTTAGAACTCACTGAATGAAAAAGCCATGTCCCTAAAGCTTTGGTCAAGACTGTAGCTATTACTGCTTAACTCCACAGCTGCCTGGAGCAATGATATTAGTTGGGACTCATAGAGATTGGCCAAAAAAGTTGAAGATCCAGGGAATGAGCAGAGTAACATCAGCAACATGGTAGAATAAGAAGGTCCTGACTCTCCCTCCACCTCCACCCACAGATGCACCAAATAAACATCTATTCATGGATCTGAGAGACAGTCAAGACACCAGTTCAGAGACTTTCACTCAGGCAGCAACCAAAAAGCATCTACATCAAGTAAGTAAGAAAAGTGGAGACCCACTCAGGCACCAACACTGCCCTGGACACTGAATTACAAAATTGGGAAAAGAATCTCCAACACCCAGGTTCTCCCTGTGGAGAGGGGTCTGGACCTCACAGGCACTCCTGTGCCTCTCTAGACCACGGACAAAACTGGCAGCTTAATGTGGGCACACAAACACCCCAAGGGCTTGATCCCCCAAGCGCAGCACAGAGAAGCAGCTTAAAAACACAACCCTCTGCTTTTCCTGAGAAGGGGGTTATGCAATGTACTGAGCGCCCCAACTTTTATAACTGCCTTCCGAAGGACTCCATCCTGAACCTCTTAGATAGGTGTACAGAAGGGAACAGCACATATGCGTCTCCCTAGATCACAAAGAGGCGGTTTCAAACAAATGCATCCCCTTGGAGTAGCGCAGAATAAGGTCAGGAACATACACTTCTCATTTTGTCTCCAGAAGTGGTTTACAGCACACAACTCTAATGGTTACTTGATGGCCTGGCTTCAGTGACAACCAAAAACTATGACAGGCCCACAAGGAGTAGACTCTTCATAACGGTGATATTAAAATATTGAAGAATGTGGAGCTTGGTATTTTATAAACTTAAAATTGGCTCATAAGTTAATATTCTGATCTAAAATGATTTGGGAATTGCATGGTGAAGGGGAGATGTGCTGAAACTCAACAAATGTTATTTGCAATGACTAGTTTAAAAAGAAAACTGGGAAGAACATTTACCTTGAAGTTCACTTTCTCCCTTCTCAACATCAGAATCACTGTCTTCATTATTCTGCAAAGCAGCCATTTTTCTCTCATGTATCTTTTTCTACAAAGTAAAAGAAAAAAAATTCATCCCCCTCCCATCTGCAAGAGAAGCAGCTTCCATATGAAACCATTTCCTCATCCCACACCCACCTTGGACAGCAGTTCGCTGCTCCACTGTCTGACGCCCTTGGGGACACTGATGATGCAGTCCACTGCTTTGTTCAGGGTCTGCTGGACGTCTTCCAGGGCAGGGGCCATGACAATGTTGGGAATGGCCAGAGTGACATTTGCCCGGAAAATGGGCAGGCTGTTCTGCCTCACCTTAGAGGCACTGTTACCATCTGAGTTAACCCAAAACAGGAAAGAATTAATATTTTAATTTAAAATGGGATTTACTGCATTTTTAACCAGAAAAATAAAACAATACATAACAGGTATATAACCAAATACCTGTTGAATGAATGAATGAAAACTAATAGAAGATCTAGTTTTGCTCAACGTACCAGAGCAGTTCTGTGGAACCCAAGCTATTTTCTGCTAATTACAAGGTGTTGTAATTACCCTCCATTCAGAAAACCCATTGTGTAAGATCAGGCTTAACTATAATTTTTTTTTTTTTTGAGACAGAGCCTCAAGCTGTCTCCCTGGGTAGAGTGCCATGGCATCACAGCTCACAGCAACCTCCAACTCCTGGGCTTAAGGGATTCTCTTGCCTCAGCCTCCCAAGTAGCTGGGACTACAGGCACCCATCACAATGCCCAGCTATTTTTTGGTTATAGTTGTCATTGTTGTTTGGCCGACCCAGGCTGGATTCGAACCTGCCAGCTCTGTTGTATGTGGCTGGCACCTTACCCGCTTGAGCTACAGGCGCCAAACCAACTATAAACTCTTAAATGAAATACTAAAGAGCTGTCCAAATAACGGGATGCCCACAAATTAGTTAAATGTAGAATAAATAAGTAAACAAGGAAGAACAAGGATAACCATAGAACAAGACAAAGTTAGAACAAATAATCAGCTTAGTATTTCAAGGAAATGCTAGGAATTTCAAGAAAAACATGCCTTTCCTACCTCAAAGCGTATAACCCAAACTAAGAACAGTTAAAAAATGAAGAATAAATAAAGTGTGGATTGCACTCATATCAAAGGGGCTTTTAATGCTGGATATAGGTATTAGATATATAGATATATCTACATCTATATTTGTGTATGGATACGTACATGTTTATCATACATAATTTATATAATTATAAATACCTGTAGTATAAAAGTTGTGAAATAACTACGATTTAATATTTAGCACATCAACCAACATTTGATCAGGTATAATAATAGCTTAATCCTGTGTCAAAGAAAAGGATTATCCTCCATTCTAAAATGAAATGGAACATACTAAGCCATGCCACCAGACCAAAAGAAAAATAAACTTTTAAAGTTTTCACTTTCATTTATTCCCTTTTACTTAAATATTAAAGATGCTTTGTTTAAATGCCAATATTAAAAGCAAGAAGATTTTATTATCCTAGTATTTTTGATTTAATAAATTGTTATATTATTTTTTACCATTTCTCATTTACAATTTAATTTCAGAATGTCCAGATCTGATGGATTTTTTTGTTGTCCGGCTAAGAAGAGCAACACGTATTTCTGAACTGCGCTGAGGAAAAGATGATGACACTAAGAATTACAAAATCCGCTGGAAGGTACTAAATTCACAAGAAAAATGAAAAGTCTACCGTGAAGAGTATGACATAATAAAATATTTTCTACTTTAAAAGGTTGGTTAAAAAAAATCTAATGATTTAACAATGAAATAGTCTCTTCTATATTTCTTCTTTGAAAGTATGTATTTTCTCTTTCCCTAAGTGAAATACTTCATTTCACATGTTCTTGCCTTACTACAAAATGATTAAAAGTTACATTAATTTTCATGTTGTTAACAAAATCTTAGCAACCTTAAGCAAATTACTGAACCTCTCTGTGCTATACTCTAGTTTTCTGTTTTAACATGAGAGTAATGACTGTACCCACTTCACAGAACTGTTTTGATGATCAAAGTTTACTTTATGTAAACTTACAAGGAAGGGCTCGATGAATGGGGAGTTTTTTGGTATTATTTACATTTAACAGAAGCACACAGGCGCATACACACACACCAGCAACCACCCTGATCAGCCCCTAGGCAAACCACATTAGATTATCACCTAGGAAGTTAACCATGTGGGAGGAATGAATGCGTTTGCGAACGGCCTCCAGCGTATTCCTTGTGACTTTCAGAAGAGCATCCATGTTTTGATGGTTGAAGTGAGATAGCAACTCGCAGGCTTCTTCCTCTAATATCTCAGTCTCTTTCTTTTTTTTCATGATTGTCAAAAGCAAAGGTTCAGTCCTGGCATTCAGGGATGGTGTCAAGGTATCAGAATTTCCTTCCTCTCTTTTTGCTGTTCCAAGATGAAAAAGATAGAGCTGGATTAGACGGATGGATGAACAGGTGGACACATGGATGATAGAACCATAGCCATTAAAGGAAAGAAAAGTGAGACAAATTACATGCAACTTTAATATCACTTAAACATCTCACTTCTTAGGCCATCGAAGAGTAGGAGGAGGAAATGGGGACCCTGGACGGACTGAGGGTGCCTCTCCTGCTCAGTGTGAGGTGACAGCCAGGAGAGATGCAGGAGTTGTGGCTGAGAAAGCTACGCCGGCCCCCCTGGTCCTGGGTCCCGGCACTCTCCCCGACCATCACCCCTGAAAAGGTAGGGGCATAACTTCTCCCTCCACAAATGAGTGTCCTCCTCTGTCCCATAAAATGTTTGCTCTAATACGTATGCTCTCCAAGGAGAATACCAATCTATAATCCATCTTACTGTACTGATAAGGTGAAATAAACACCCACTCATACATCAATGCAAAGATTGCTAACAAGAGCCAGAGCAACGGGCATGTTTGTGGACTTTAACCAAAAGTCATGGAATTAACAACAGAGAGTCATTGCAACACGCTCAGAGTCATGGTTTCAGGTTTACAAACATCATTTAATGTTGGGAGGGTGTTTACAGAAGTATGAAATTAATTGCTATATAGAAAATTTAATTGTTATTAGTAAATGTCCTAGAAAAACGGGATCTTTCCATCACCACATCTCTTACCTGAACTTTTGTTTTTTGAATCAACGCCAAGTTCGCTGGCTATTTTTTCACTCTCTTCTGTAGAGGGGACTTCCACATCCAGCAACATGTTTATCAGCTCATTGACTGCCTCCTCCACTAATGAGCTTTTAAAATGTAGTATCTGAGCGCCACTTACACAAAGGTCCTAAACAAAAACAGAAAAGTTTGGCAGAGTGTCCTGTTGGTTTACCCAGGTCTTCAGAGCACAACAAGAGCAGTAGCAATGCCATAGTTCAGCCTACAGGTGAGATTTGAGCCCCAGGGATGACTGGCCACAGCCTCCATAGCAGTCCAGGCCAAGTGTCCTGTAAAGTATTGTGTTAAGGACAAGAGAACAAACTGGAGCATTGTAGATACACTAAAATTACTCGGACTTTGCCAGCAGTGGAGGAAATAACTCCAAAGGTTGTCAGTGTCCTCTCTTCCTGTGAAGTTTCCTTGATATCACAAAACTCTACTCGCTCATCTTTCTCCTCTCTCATATTTGCTCTAACTACCTATACATTTCTAAAGAATGG